CGCTGACAAACAGGATTTAGCTCAGTAGGTAAAAAAAAAAGTTTAGCATTTTCTACAAATTTCTTTAACTGGTAAATATCTACATTTTGTTTTAATATTGCAACCGTATTCCTATTGATCATGACGCAGTTTCAAAAAAACATTTTGAGAATAATATGCTTAAAAGGTGATGTAAAGATCAGGTCAAATGACAGCAGATAGCAGTGATGGCTTCTCGCAAAAGAGAAACAAACACAAACAGTTTTGCTCTAGAAGTAGATCGACTTACCTGTCTGTTTAATCAGGGCCTGGAACTGCAGGCTCTGCGATGGTGTAGGACAATTATTCAGTCTAACAGGAAGCAGGAGATCAGTTATCCTCGAAATTCTGTTGCCTTAGGCGCAAGCACACGTAAGTTGTTGCTTTTTCTTCGAGTCTAAAATTACGAAAGTTTCACAGTATTATATTTAAAAGAATCAATAGAGATTTGTGTCTGCACGTCACTGACGCATGCCTTCTCATTCTAGATCTAGCAAAGATGATCAATTACACCACGTGAGGCCATAATACAGCAACGTTACAATAATGGCAATCAAAAACGGATTACGAACAATATTGTGTATCAAATATTAGAATGCTGCAGTACTACAAACAGATAAAATATAATCTGCCTCCATTTGTTCGTGAAATGATTAGCTTATGAATGATGTTTCACGAACTCGTTGAAACCACAAATAGCACAAATTATTGATTTGCAATCATTGTGTCGTTCACATAAGGAAGAGTTAAAAGCTTGACATGTTTTACGAACAATTCACACAGTCTTGAAAACTCAGAGTTTACTAAATTAGGATAAGTATGATTTATGTTGTTCTTCTCTCTGCCGGTCTCAGAGAATCACAGATTCAAATTCCATTTGCCTGCAATGTGCTGTAAAGTTGTACATGTCACACGATGAAAATCCCTGACTGTTTAAAAATGAAATGTTTTGACGTGAATCGTGGTTCACACGCTTTGGTAGGGAGAAGATCACTCTGGTGTTTTTCAGCCAAAACTGTTTGCAAAGTATAAACTGTTTTTCTTTTTTAATGTAAACTTTATTTTTGGTGTTCACAATTTTGTTATTATCTGTTTAATCCATACAAAAGAAAGACATAGTACTCTGAGCTGAGTTGGCGCTCACGAAATTTCTATCAGTGATTGTCTGCCACACAATCAAGAATATGCTGTTGTTTTCCCATTGTCATGTACAGAATTGCTTTATGTAAACTAGACACACAACACACAACTGAAACCGTAATACTTTTGGCTACCGTTGTCCGATCAACATCACAAGAAGAAAAAAAAAACATCAGTTGAACGTTAAGCTTTGGAAGCTCACTAGTTCCAAGAACGTTTCCCGGACCAAAGACAATGAAGCCCAAGATCTTGTTATGACGTTTGTCTTCTGAACTCTTGTGAATCACAAGAAGTCTAGCACAGATGTTACAAAATGAGTAGATGGGCTGACATCTCAACACACGAGGTGACTACAGCTTGAGGCGGTGAGTGCTCTGGGGCCAGTGTCCCAAGATGTAAAGCAGCAGCGGCTGTATTTAGTAGAGAATCTGAAAAGGAAAATATTTTTTAAAATATTTTAATAAATCCTTGTATTTCTCAGTGGAGACAAGGATTAGTTCTTAAGGACCTCGAAGGAAATTGATTTTCTCGATGTATCCCTCTACCAACGTCAATTCGAAATAGAAACCACAACCTAATGTACAGCACTATGAGTGAGATTAAGTAGCGTTTTTGATTTAGATAAAAGTTGCTGGAAGTTCTGCGTTTAGTAAATCCTCTGAAAAGATGTATGTGAACACAGATAGTCACGGTACAAAAAGAATAGCAGCTACTTTGAAACTTATAGAACATAAAAGATTTTGAACAAGGGAGATCAAGGGTGGTAAAAAGAGGGGCCTTATTGTAGAGATGAGTAAAGGGTTCTTCCAGCAAAAAAAATCGGTTCAATATGGAAGAAATGTTTAGTTCTATTTACTTAGAATGCTTGCTTATCTCTATTATGGAGGCAATTTTACAGTCTTTTTACGCCAAAACTAATTCCACACTCCCAATATGACAGACTTAGTAAATGAACAATAAATAGTAAGACTGGCGTGGGGGGGGGGGGGTGGCTGGGAAAAGACTAGTAGGGCTAAGTAATATCAATGCATTGTGCCAATCACCATACTGAGTTCGTTGGAGGCGCGTGGTGGAAGGGAAAATGGTTGGTTTGAAAGGAGGTTGATTAGCAGGAAAAGGGAGGAAGGAGGGGAGAGGGGAAGGGGGGAGGGCAAGGCTGCAAGATGCAGTTTGTGCTTTTCATGGGAGATAACACATAACTGGCAATTAGTGTTTTGGTGCTTGTAATTTCCATGTCTCACGTCTAGAAGCTTGGCTACTTGTGGATGACGTTTATATTAGAGACAGCCATGATGCTAATATCAGAGACTGACGCTTCGAGAGAGCTAATCACGAGGCATTGTTGTTGCAAGAATTGCAAAGGGGGTATCTCCCGATTTGAACAGACGGTCCTTTAAAAACAGGTAGAGAGGAGAAAATACAGCATTATTGAAAGGGTAGCAGAGAGAAGAAGTTTAAAGAGGGAATTCCATTTAGAGAAAGGAAAGGAGAAGAGAATAGAGAAGAAAAAAAATGACTTCAAGATGTTACGTTAATGCGGGAGGAGTGATAGGAGTGTTCTAACGTCTAACAATGTAAATTGCATTTTTGCATCAGTTAAAGAGAAGCATCACTATAACGGTCATTCCGTGTTCGGAAAAGTATAACGGGCAGACAAATAACAAACTAACAAACAAACAAACGAAAAAACAAACGAACGAACAACGAAAAAACAGATGGAAAGAAAAGAAGTTGAACCCCCAATGGAGCCCTTTAAGTGAAAATGTAGAAACCCTTGTGTAGCACAATGAGACAAAGAGTGACTTAATAGAAACACCGGCACACACACGCATACACATACACACACACACACACACACACACACACACACACACACACACACACACACACACACACACACTCACTCACTCACTTACTCACTTACTACATACACATACACACACAAAAATAGATGAATAAACAGACAGACAGACAGACAGACAGACAGACAGACAGACAGACAGACAGACAGACAGACAGACAGACAGACAGACAGACAGACAGACAGACAGACAGACAGACAGACAGAGAGACAGAACCAGACATTATAGAGGAATACTAAGCTACTACTAAAAAGCGAAATAAACATTGTAAAAAGGAAAAGGGGAAAGGGGGGGGGAGGGAGGATAAATTCATTATGTCCTTATCACATCTCTCGCCTTTTGGTCTCGTTATTTTAGGCTTTTCAGAAAATCCACGTTATTCGGGAAACTGAGAGGATGTCAATCACCCTTTGTCAAGGCGTGTGTCCCGTCTCTTGCACTGCTGGCTAATGATGTTATTGAATAGGGGCACCAAGCTCAAAATATAATGTGCCAGCACTAACAAACAGTCCATTCTCGTTCATGAGCAAGGATTTCTTTTGTGTTCTCAGGGATCTTTTCTAAACGTCGAAGACCAGTCTTCAGATGAGATGACAGGATATAATGGAATTCATTTTCAAAAGACACGGCGGATTTATTTAGATAAAGAGAACTGGTGAACGTCAAACGAGAAAATAATATTATGTCTAAGAGTTTGTGAGAAAAGATCTCATTTCTGAATTTTGCTAGCCACCCTTTAGAAAGAACAGCTGGCAATGAAAGATATCCCAAGTGAATACATGCATACACAGGGGGAGCAAGAGAAATATATATTAATTATGTATGTGGATAATAGTGGGGAAGTTTGGCGCTCGTCAAAATAATATAATTGAAGAAAGCTACCCTACATTTTCTCGCCAGTCTAGCGATTGATATTGAATTTGGGGGAGTGGGGGGTGGGGGGTTGGGGGGGGGGATCTACAACGTTCATGTCCATTTGAAACATATCACTTCTGTTTGGATTTTTACTGAAAAACGGCTATTGAAGGCACATTTCTAGTTTCCAAGCACTCTAAAACTATGAAAATCACCAAATTTTCGCGACCATTTCCTCACCTCCTACAATCGGAAACTTCTTGACGATTTTTTCATCAAAAGCAACACGAATAAACAAGCTTTAAGGTGATATCAATAACTCTACGTGCCCCAAATCTGACGAGCGCCTGATTCCACCGCGTCGTGACACATATAATGCCTCTGAGTTGGTCAGAAAAGTTCCTAAATTTTGCTTGTCACACTTTGGAATGAAGAGTAGGTGATTTAAGACATGCATACATAATATAGAGATAACGAGAGAAGCATTTTTCATGTGAAATCTTATAGGGATAAAGACCCCGAAGACTCGTGTAAAGTGCTGAGCTTCGAACCCCCTGAGCCCACACTCTTATGATTACGCGTACGGCAACCTACCCTCTAGACCACTGACGCCACACAAGGAGTGAGGGAGAGAGATAGATAGATAGATAGATAGATAGCTCGATAGATAGATCGATAGATAGATAGATAGATAGATAGATAGATAGATAGATAGATAGATAGATAGATAGATAGATAGATAGATAGATAGATAGATAGATAAAGGGGAAAAGAGAAAGTGAGAAATTGATACACTACAAATTACAGGCTACTAGCGAGGACAGTTATAGGAACAGTTATCATGGTAAAGGGGGATGTAAAATAAATAATACTACAATACATATACAAGACTTCGGATATGACGCTTAATCAATAGCTTTTTGAGAATACTTACTCTCTAAGTGTGTTTGGCAGGAATGTCTTTTTGTATTTTGTTTTTGTAAGTGTGTTACGGCGCTCGCAACTGCATACGGTCTCATGAGCGCGCGGAACACATTAAGCCTTTTCAGTTGGTAGGACATTTTGAATGTTACCCGGGTGGCGGCCGAAGCCTACTCTTATCGATTTTAGACCACCAAGGGATCTTTAACGTGCGCAACTAGCACACGGGCCCTCCGAGATTTTTCGCCCTTTTCCGAGAAGGCTAGGTGTAGATCTTTCCTTACAGAAATTCAGGGGTTTGTCTGAAAGACAGCAGTACGAAGAAACCAAGAAGATGCAGTAGAAAGGTTGTAGAACGAGTCAGGAGCCAGAGGAGGTGGCAAAAGGATGTGAGAGGGTGGGGCAGAAAGTGGAGACGGAAGCGGACAACAGAACACTGCTAGAGAGCAGGAAATAAGGTGAAAGGATACAGTTTTAGAGAAGAAAATTTTTCCGTCGCCACCCGGTTTCGAACCCGGGACCTTCGAATGAGAGACGAACACCTTAACCTCTAGGCCACAAGAGCCCCCTTTGGAATTTCAGTGAGTCAGATAAATCACGATTGCGTCAAAATGCGACACATGCAACATTATGTTATTAAAGATATTGAGATAAGAAAAGATAAGATAAGATAAGATAAGATAAAATAAGATAAGATAAGGCAATACTTTCCGGTCCCTGTGGGTAAATTTATTTTGCTGCATAGAACTGTAAAACATATTTACACATACATAAAACATAATTGTGTGAATATTACTTTCATTTTGAACAATAATTTTAATGAGAAGAGAAACTTGAAGCTGACAATAATACAACCTGTAGGAATTTATCACAGATTTTGAGGGAAATATATATTATTATTTCAACCCATACAACTCCGCCTCGTTCATTATTTGAGTCTTTAGTCCTGCCACATCGTACAAGGTGGAATCCATAAATATCCACACCGTTTTTGGAAACATTTGGAGTACACCACGCCCAGCTAAATCAAACAAATTATCTCTGTACTCTTACACAAACCAAAAGTTTGTGCTTTGTTCTTCATGTATGATTTAGTGATCTTGCGTTGCGAGTGACAGCTGTACGTAAAAATAGTTTAGACGATCTTCTCCTTCTCTGGTTCGTACCCCCCCCCCCTGCTTATTTCCCCGTTTACGTGGCTCAAAAGTGTGAACACAGATTGTGCTAGCCGTGGGTAGTATGTTTAGCATGACTGAACTTTACGTCGTCTCAATAATGATGCTTCCCTGACGAGATTACGAAATATTTCTAAACATAACCTCTCTGAGTTTCACTCAAAACACTGCACCGGGGAATTTGCACTAACACACTCGATAAAATAAAAACCGCAAGATATATGGCTCAGCTGAATGACTTAATACCCATGGTAAGAATCATCATCCAGTGCCAGATCTGCGACAGATATCGGCGATCATGGTTCTCCATACATTCCTTTGCTCGGATGCTCTAAAAAAAAAGCCACGTTTCCCTGATCTTTCCCTGTTACCCATTTGTTTAGGTTCCCCAAGTATGTTGTTCTGGGCCTTCCCCTGCCTCGCTTGCTCTCAATTTTGCCAGTGAGAGCTAGATGTTCAAGATACTTATGTCTATTTATGTGTCCCAAAAACATGGTAAGAATATGATATCAAAAGACCGTGTAAAATTGAATATGCTTGTAAAAATGTATTTGTATTTATTAACCAAATTTGTAGACACTTACAAGCCGTATGGTAAAGATCAAAGCGGAGACA